CGAGCAGCAAACAAAGAAAAAAAAAACTCCTTGAAGCTTCTGCCGCCGCACCAGCCACCTGAACCACCGGCCGCCTGCCCAGCTGCACCTCCGACCACCACCGCCACAACCCTGCAGTTCGCCTCTTCTTCTTCTTCCTTTTCTTTACTTCTTTTTATTTTATTAAATTGATTTAAAGTTGTAATCTTTGTTTAATTTTTATGCTAAAGGATTGTTATTATGGGTTAATATTATACTTGGGTTGCAAAAGATTTTTTTTTTTTTTTTGGGTGTTCCATCCGGTTCACCCTTTGGGTTAATCCGGATTCAAGGATCAGTTCTGGGTGGTTAGATTCCAGTCCCCTCCCAATTGTTGTTGCGGGGGATCGAACACGGGTCCTTCCTACCAAGTGTAGTCCCAATCACCACTACACCAACAACCAATTGGTGGGTTGCAAAAGATTATGAATTTATGAGTTTTGACATGTTTAAATTACTATAGAAAATTTCAGATTTTGTATATGTATGAATTTAGGGTTTAAAGCATTGATTTTTCATGTTTTAGGGCTTGATAACGTGTTAATCAAGTCATCTAATCATACTATGTTTAAATTACGTTAAAGTATAATTATTTTAATCATATATAAATTTTTTGATTTATTAAAGTTTCAATTTTTATGAACAAGTTGTGTTAATTTCATGTTTTTATGCTTCTAAACCTATAAAATAGTTATTGTGAGTATTTTGTGATTGAAAAAGCTTTGAACTTTAAATTTTAATTTTAAAAATAATTTTCAGATTTCATACTTTTTTATTTTAAAGCCTCTAATTGCATTGAATTGGTATATTCTTGGGTTTTTAACACACTAACTTGCTATATAATGATTATTTTAAGTAATTATGCTTATGGGGTTATTTTATATACTTAAAACAAATTTCCAGATTTATTTACTTACTTTAAAGTTGCTGTAATTTGATATAAAACACTATATTTTCATAATTCTAACATATAAACTTAAAGTTGGGATGTTATATTATTAACTTTTATTATTGAGGACAATTTAAAGGCTTTATTTTGATGATTTAAGAGGTTTTAAAGTAGTTTAGTATTTCTGTAAATTTATTTGCTTTGATATTGATTTATTTCTCATTGTTTGGTTTAGGAGAGGACTTTGTAGAAGGCGACTTATAGTTTTAAAGTGGCCAACCAGATTGTTTACACAAGGTACGTACAAGCTACGAAACCTTTCTTGTAGGTGCATGTTTAAGGACGGATCGAGAACTTAATATCATGTATAGGATTGACTGGGTTAAATTGTCTGGTTATACATTGTGAATTTCAAATGACGTGCACTAGTTTATAATGCAAGTATTATTTGTGCTCTAATTATGCAAGGAGTGCTTAAAGGCAAAGGTATGTGATTGGTGTAAAGATTAAATTATTACTCATTCATGATTATGCAAACAGGATGAGTAAAGGAGAAATTCAAGTCTTGTAAGACGATGTTAAGGTTTTGGGGTGCCTTATGCACTCAAGGTGTTTATACACCGAGGTAGTAAAGGAATAATTAATAAATAATGTTGTTTGTCACTGATAAATCAAGAATCTAAATTGAGAATTTGCCATGTTTGATTGAGTTGTGTTTGGGTTGTTTGTATTGAAATGTATATGAGTCATCACTAAGTCTAAACCTGTAAATCACGTAAAGTGCAAGATGGATGAGCAATAAAACTCTAGAATGGTGCACATCTGGAGTAATGACAATCAGGGGTTGGGGGTACATGGGGTATTAGCCGTGTACTTTTATCGAGGCCGTCTGATCTACGAGTCTCCTATTTCAAATATTATTTTTCTAAAGCTAGGAGTTAAGTGAGATCTCATACTAACTACGGTCACGGAGTCGCGCCCGTGGTTGTTGGATGTTTATTGATGTTTCCGAAAGGAGGCATGGGGTTTTTCTTTTATTGATGTTTCAAATGGGACATGGGTTGGACAACCTTGTCTATTGCAAAATCCAATGAAATAAATAAATGAGTCAGTTAATATTAGTTAGTGAGGTCTTAATAAATTTAATAATCGAGTCATGAATTGAGTCTGTATTTAATGATGCTTGTGCTTGATTATTAGTAGCATGTTAGGTATTTCCTTAATTTATTTCGCAGCTTGTATGTACTCGGCTTTATGTTGACTGCGTGCTTTTGTGTGTGTCTTTCTTTGGTCATGGCCTTCGCCTTTCAATGACCCTGAAGGCCATGACCCTGTGACGATCCAATTTTAACACTTGTAATATTGGGGAGCAGAATAACCACAGGTTCATACACATGCAGCATTCATCAGGGTTGTGGGATCTTGAGTAGAGAGTTTTATTTCTTTTGCAAGTTTGAATTTATTTTAATTCGATTTTATTTGACACTAAATCTTTTGGGTTTGAATTTATTCGTACACCGGATTAAATCACTTACTATTTTTATTGGGTTTTTAATAAGGGTCTTAATGGTTCCAACTTGTAACACTTATTTTGATTTAATTATTTTGTTTTGAAGTTTATTTATAACTGTTTTGGTTTTCCGCTGTTAATTTCTGAGATAGCCTTAACGTTTGAACACGTGGCGGTAGCGCGCCAGTAATTCTCTTGAAATTGTTCAGGTTATATACAGGTTTCTCACAGGTTTTTAAAAGAGAATTATTGGGGTGTTACAAGAAATCACAACGCCCCCTGGCGTTAAGGGTCCCTTGCCCTTATCCTTTTTCCTAACATTCTCCTGGTTTCTCAGAGGAGGAGCTTTGCGAAGGGGCAGGTCGGCCAGTTCAGCAATGACTATGCCTATTCTAGGTGTGGCCTATTTGGTGGTTTGGATTAGGGGTTGTTCAGGAATTTGGACGGATGCCCCAACGTCCACCCGGGAAGAGGGAGGATGCCTTTCAAACGATGGCGACTCGGCCGTATCTATGACCGAGTTGGTGAATTGGGGAAAGCGAAGTTTCGGAGTCTACCCGGATGCTTCCCTAGCAGAAGAGACATCTTGCCTCCTTTGGCGCTTTTCGAATGAGGTAGTCACTTCGACCACTGACCATTCGCTGACACTGACCATGGCGGTGTTTGTAGTTGTATTTGTGGTTTCCTCGTCCATGTTACTCGGATCATAGAGAAACTCTAGGATTTACCAGACTGTCGTCAGGATTTCTAGTACTGTATTTATCGTACGTCTGCATGGTCCATGCCATTTGCAACTTTAGGGACAGATAAGAATAGGTGGAGGTAAATTGGTACGCACGAGAAATGGACCCACTTCACAAAGGAGACGACTTGTCCCCGTCCACTCTAAACTCCTCAGTCCCATGCGAACGACCGACCACATGAGGAGAAACGGACGAAGCTGAGTGTTGAGCTAGATTGAATATGAAAAATAAAAATAAGTAAAAGAAAAGGAAATAAGTGAACGAGCAGGTGATTAAATCTGTCCGGGTAGAAAACTTGGAGAATGTTGGAAAGTCTTGAAGGTTTACCGAAAATCTCAAAAACTCTGACTAAAAACCTCAAACACATGGCTGAGCTCTCGAAGATTCAAAGAGAAATCACTTTCTCTCTCTAAAAAGCTCTTACTTCACTCTAAGATTCTCAAAGTTCTAAAGTGACAAAGTGAAGTCAAACTCCTCAGGCCGAATATATAAGGGCAAAATGGTAAAACCATCTTTCTCGCCCGAGAATTCGAATGGTTACTTTTCAAAAAGTTTAACCTGAAAGATGAAACGATTAAAAGTCGATTTCGTCATTTCAAACGGGAAAGGAGACGGACGCTCTGATGGCACGTCAAAAAAGACGGCGAGGTCAGCGGAATTAGAATCGCCAACCCGCAATTCTGGGTGACTGGTGTCCTATACAAAATAAAGTCGGCATAACCTGTCCGCCTGATCCCAAGATTTAAGAGTCCTCTGACAGAATTCAGGCGGACCAACACAAGGCATCCAGCCCAAGGGAAAAATCCCTTGCTAGAAGGACGGTATCGTCCGCATACTAAACAGAACGCTCACAACTTCTATTTGTACTTGGGCGTATCTGGACGAGTAGAAAATCAAAGGAAGAGGCCCGTAGAGTATAAGCCACCCCCATTGAGAGGCAAATGTTTAGGGTAAAAATTACCTCAATACGTGGACCAATCTAATAGCGACATGTGGCCCAATTAAAGGGAGACACGTGTCCCTATAGGAAGATGACACGTGTACAAGCCCTACAAAGAGCACCTGAAAAAGAGAGGAAAGAGTCTCCTTACATCATGAGGCCCTAATCCCGAGAAAGTCACAAAACGACACCCCTATCAGAATACGTGGCAACACTTGATTGCGCCGTCAATCAGGTCACGTAATTCTAGGTAACAACCCTACAAGGGCACAATTCCCCACCCCTATAAACACCCCAGTAATTTATGATGGGAGGGGAGGATTGTGACATTACAGTAAACAAGGCATTAAAACAGCTCCACCTTCTCTCTACTTTCTCTCTTTAGCTTTTTCGTTTTCCGGTTACTAACTTGACCGTCGGAGGCGAATATATTCGTTATTTTGCAGGTGTTGGGGCTGTCTATCCAAAGAGAGAGACCAGTATCCCAAGGGAGATCACAAAAATACCCAAAACAACACTTGACTATTTTTTTAAAAAAATTTATGGTAAGATATAGGGGTTCCTCTGAGGAAGGGAGGGGGTGAAGGATCGAACATTGGTCACACCACGGGGGGTGGAAGGACTAACCAACCATCCACTCCTTGATCCTCGATACGCTTGACTTTGTTACTTCACCTTGTTAGTGTTAAATTGGACCATCAGAAAATTTCAAGCCAAACCATACCATCTTTTAAATTCTATTCACTTGTTGTCATGTATCTTTAATTTCGTATTTTTTAAGAATTATGCAAATTAATATATATGAAAATACACATTAACACTAAACCAACAACATTTCATTTGTGATGAATTTTTATACATTGATAATTTGATATACAATTTAAATAAAATTTAACCAAATTAGAGGATCAGATAACACCAAGAAATATTCGAATCAGATGAAACAATAACTTCAAAAATTAGTGGAGATGAGATGACCAATATGGTTGAGAATATGATGGTTAGTTTAATACCCTCACCCCCACATGATTTGGTTCAACTTTTCTCACGGGATTATGCTGACTGACTCCTTCCATCTCCCATCTCTAAGCAATTGCCCCATTTAATATTCTAATAGTGTTCCTTCTCACTCCACTCCACTCCACTCCACTCCCTATTTTAGCAAGCAAAACCGTTGGATGATGTGATCAACTCATTACTTAGTCAGCCTTCTTCATTACCATTCTCATCATTTTTATTTTTTTTTACCGTTATTTTCAAGCTACTCTTCTTGAGCTCCCCCACGGCCCCACTTGTCTTCCTGTTAAAGTCACTCCCTCTCTACTCAAACTCATTCTCTGTCTTCTAATCCCTTTTGGTATTCTAACCAATACCAACCTATTACTCCTTATATAATTACTTGATCAAATACAGGTAGAAGATAACCAAAATCAACAATTATGTCATCTAAATCCCCTGTTTTCTCCATGCTTGAACCTAACCATTTCAGCGATTACGGCTTCGACCCTCAGATCGATTATTTTCAGGTATCGTTTCTTACACCTTCTGTTTCAAATCAACCGATATTGTTAGTTTATATAGATAGCTCATAATAAGTTCAATAGAGTAGTATTGTAACAACTAAACCCAAATCGACAAAATTAGTATTTCTAAAGTTGCACATAAGAATTAACGAAGGACATATTAGATTTGTATTAATAGCCACTAATCTCCCTTCCGTCTTCTCTAAACGTTCTTCTTTGTCTTGACTTTTTTTGTTTAGTAGTTTATATTATCGAATGTTATGTGACAAATTAATTTGGACGGAGGAAATATTATCGAATAATTTTGACTGAAGGTGTTGGAGGAGGCAAGGAAGCATAAGAGGGAAGCAACAACAAGATCAATAGACACCCTCCATTTCAAGCTCCAAAAACCAATCTCAAAAGACGACGCAAAAAAGTGTTCAAAGAAAAAGAGGCGTCAATGGTGGTGGAAGAACGCAGTGCTCTTCTTCAAAACTAAATGGGCTGCCCAACATCAAAGACCAAGCCCACTTGACTACCACAACCAGCAGCAGCCTTACAAAGGTGGGTCCATCTCCGGCCCAATTTACTTCACCGATAGCTTAAATGGGTCGGAGCCCACTTCTCCTTGTCGGACCACTACCCGGCCAACTTCCGGCCCAATTGCCGGAACACTGACACCGACAAGAAAAGGTGATTTGGAGATCCCGTATATTAGTCTCAAGGATCTTAATATGGAACCGTCGCACGTGATCCCTGCTACTCCCATGCCTATTTATTTAGTTACCTAATTTAATATGCCCTTTTTGATGATGAGACTATGAGAGTAACAGTTTTTTCCCTTTTTTTTTTTTTTTTTTTTTTTTTTTTTAAGTATTTTTAGAAAAAAAAAATAAAATGATTTATTGAGATTGGGATTTTAGTAAGGGAGACAAATCTTGGGTTTTATTGGGATTATTTAGGTTAATGAGATGGTTAACTTATTAATTTATTTTATATCAAAAAAAAAAAAAAATAGAACTTTTTAATTTTTTTTTCTATTTTTTTATATTTTTTGCACAAAAGATGTTCTTTGTGCAAAGGCTTCTTTTAGATGAGTGATTTTTATTTATTAATATAATTTAATTATGATGGTGTTGGACCGCTCGGTTAAGCTTTTACTTTGACTGAGGTGTGTTTTTGTCCAAAATGTTGACCTGCATCAGTAATGAAAGCATGCAGCGGGAAACACGACGTCGTTCCTTTTTTCACTCTTTTTGTTGGAAACGGCCGTTAGCTTTACCTTTACCTTTACCTTTTAGCTACTTATTTTATCTATTACGGAGCATTATTAAGTAATGTTATGGTCCTACACTCCACAAAGACTTGCATGGACCTGGTCCACAATAATGTTATTGTGAACCCGATATTTATACACACGCAACTAACATTATGTTGAACATAGTGACCCTTAGTCTTGACATAGTAACCTTAATATAACGTTTAATATTATTGTGAACTTAAAGCACAACGTTATGACCCTAATGTTAACATATTGACCTTTATTATTCATATTAACCAGTATATAAAATATTTCGTTAAAAAATTAACCTCTTATTGTCTATATATTACCAAAATGACTTTTATTTCATTATAGAGACCTTTTTTTAATTATAGTGACCTTTTTTATAACTAATAAAACAAATATAGTTTCTCAAATATTAGTGGTCCACAATAAATTAGTGTAAACCAGGTTTATTTAAGAATTTGTACCTACCCTCCTACACAAATTGTAATGTTAGTTATGGAAGTGATTACTTTGGATTTTTAGTTGATTTGTGACTTTATTTATTACAATATCATTTAATCTTATTGCCTTTTCATGTTCTTTCTCTAACACAAAAGTAATTTTTGAATGACACTATTTTATATGAGTACTAGTTAGAGATGGCAACTAGTCGGATCTGGACCGGGTTTAGATGGACCCGCATCCAGATTCGTTTTTGTAACAAGGATCCAGATCCAACCCGGATCCGTCGGGTCTGGAAAATGGAAACCCGGATCCAAATCCGACAGGTCCAACTGATCTGGGTTCAAATTCGGGTCCAATATAACTTGCCTAATTTTTTGCAATAAATGTAATGTTTAGGTCAAAAAATGCATTTTAAACTTTCACCGACTTATTAAATTCAACCTAAATTAAAGTTATACAACTAATCTATAAATAACCAACGTATACACTTATATTTAAAAATAAAAATTATAAACCACGAAAAAAGTACGATGTTACAAATGAGCAAGTGAAAAAACAATGATGATGTACCCGATATGAGCATCTAAAATTCATCTTTTGAAAGGGATAATTTTATCAATATTAACATCATCAACATTTTTAATAAAGAAACAAAAAAATTTAGTTTTACTTTTGGGGAAAATTAAAAAAACGGGTAAACGGATCTGGGTCCAGGTCTAGGGGCCAGACCTAGATCCATATCCGTTTTTCTTAGCAGGACCCGAATCTGACCCGGATCCAACGGGTCCAAAATTTGAAGATCCAGATCCGTCGGATCTGGATCCACATATCCGGGTCGGGTCTGAATCCACTGTCATCTCTAGTACTAGTACTACTTAGTTTTAGGAAGAGTTGTAGAGTGATACGAGTACATTTTTTTTTAAATAGTAAAAATAAAGAAATTAGGAAACCTCTTCACGAGGGGAATTCCTAATACGTCGGAAGAAAGAATGGGAATTAGAGAATAATTATTACAAGGAACAATATTCATACTTTTACTGACTAAATGACGAAAAAGGCTACACATACAACCAAATGTATGTGGTCCCCACATACAATTTGAGATGGAAGATTTTAATTGGTTGTTCAATTGGCCCCAAACTCCACTAATTTTGAAATTTTGTTTGAATTTCAAATTAAATTTTTTTATTAATTTAATATTTGAAATTCAAATAATTTTTCATTTCCAATGCACATATTTAATTTATGGAATTATTAAAAATAAGTTATTGTTCATTTTTCACCACCATGAACAGTAAACCTTACAAAGCAAGGGTCGTGGAAGTTAAAAAAAAATAAACATGAATTTTGTTTTTGTTAAATTATACATTTCATCCTATTCTAAACTTTCATCCATATTAAGGTAACAATGAGACTGGTTTGTCATTGCTTTGTGGTGGAATTGGACTGTGTGGCCCTCCATTGCCCAGGAGAAAGAAAGAAATTTCGACTTTCGGCATGATTTAAAATGATGTAAGGAGATTGGTGATTCACAATATTGCTATATCTTTTGCTTTCATTAGGAGAAATGGGAATAAATCTACTCTAGCTAAGCTTAGTCTATCCCTTGGAACTTTTAATGTAAGGTTGCAAGAAGGTCCAAATTTTGTTGTTATAGCTGATGTTCCTATAGTTTAAATATACAATTCGTTGATGTTGATATAGCTTATACAATTTGTTGATGTTGATAGTTAAATATACAATTCGTTGATGTTGCTTAAATAAATTTGCCCATGTTTTATTTGCTGTCAAAAAATAAAATAAAATTCTCAAATAAGATGAATTTGTTTTTGTTAAATTATATTGGGATTTTGTTAACAAAACAATCAAAAGTATTGAAATGGGTCTTCTTCCACTATATTTACACCGTAGTACTCTGTATCAAAGTATTGAAATGGATCTTCTCTTCTTGTTCCTCCTAGTCTCCTACCATTTTCTATTGAATTTGGATTTTGGATTGAAATACAATAATTATTAAAGGGACAAAAGTATCCAAAAATATTTTTTTTAAAATTTAGTTTGCAAATTATTTAGTAACACAAGCTGATATATTTGGTAAGCACATATCATAAACATACATGTGTTCACATAGTGCTTATCTCGCAATCTTGGTTATTAACGCTGAGCATAAAATTGCATTAATGTTAAATTGTTTCGAATATGATTCATTGCAAGCACATAATTTTCCCTATATTCGAATTTTTTTGTATTTTTACCCTTACAATGAATTGGAGATTCAAAGGACATCAGTAATGGGTGGGACAAAAAAAAGTTTTAGACTCAAGGATACGATGTAGAAAATACATATATAAAACCTCCTAAAAACGTCGGGCACTTTAATTTGTAAATTATTGAGTAATGCAAATAATCAACTGTGGTAAGCATAACAATTAAGAATATTACGAAGTATATTTCTTTCATTTATCTCGTAATCCTTGTTAATAGCGCTGAACATAAAACAACATTGATGTTACATTGTTCCGATTTTGCTCCCTTACAAGCACACAATTCATCCCTTTTTCAAGAAAAATATGTTACCTCCCTTCTATAAATTTTGTTATTGTAACATAAAATATATAGTAACAAAAACAACAAATCCAATATCCTAAAATATGTTATAATTTACTTATAATGGTTTCACCAAAAAAATATATAATTAACTTATAATTTCAAAATAGCACTTTTTCTAGTAACAACTATTTAGCAATAAATTGATTTTTTTTAATTTAACTCTCAATTATTTTATTCAAACCCAAGTATGGATATAACCTTGATTATCATATTTAATTATAAGTGCCAAAATTACAATTTTGGCCTTCATAATTTTAATGGATAACCTTTCGTGATTTCATTTTAACTATCGATTATTTATTTTAAACCTTTCAAAAGATGAATTAAATTCTCCAATATATGAAGTATAAATTAACCCGTAAACAACTTGATAATTTTATAATTGTTCTAACACCTATTTATTTTTATACAATTAATTTATATGTAATAAAATTATAATTTACACATTTTTTGTGTGTTTGAAATTTTGGTAGTAACTATAAAGCCTAGCTAATTACTAATATTTATTAATAAGATCACACACTATAGTAAGTTTGAAATTGTCTAACTTCATAATTTTTTCGAAAATATATCGATATGGACGTCTATAGAAAGATCTTTATAAAATAATTTTATTGGTTTTTTTATAATTTTTTTGATTTGTAGTTTGTAAAATATCGTCTAATAAAGTATTATTCAATTCTTATAATAAACATCTCTCTTCATTAATGATGTTAACTAGTACGCTATTATCTCTAGTAACAAATTTGTATTTTTAGAATTTTAGTAACGTAAAATATTTTTTTAGTAACGAGACTGTAATTAGGCGCCATTGAAATTCTTCCCTCCTATTTTTGATAAATGGCGCTTAAAACTAATTTTTTTTCCTACTCATTTTTCCCTCTTATTTTTTTGACTTATAATGAGTTGTCAATTTTCTATTGGTAATGTATGTGTAGTCCACATACAACAATTGTATGTGTATCACCTCCCATAAATGACCAACAGTATTCCTAACATGTAATCCGTAATTCTAATAAAATGTCTATACGGGTGGATGATTTGGCCGTTAACCAACAAGTATAAACACTTGATGTTGTATACCGCAATATGGCTAGAGATCTTCCTACATACTCCCTATAAAGTATAAAGAGTCGGAATACAAGATCAATCTGATCACGCTATGCTCAATGCCAAATCTATAATCTCATCAACTCATGTCCAATGGCGCTTATCAAGGTGACGACTCTGTTTTTGGTTCCTTTTGTTGGAAATAGGTAATGCAAACGGATTCTCGCGCCCAATCGGGCGGTGGTTCGCCCGACCGGACGGAGGTAGCTAAGGAAAATAGGAGAACTCTCGTGCCCGATCGGGCGGCCCTCGCCCGACCGGGCGACGGACTCGAGTTTTTGACGAGCCCGATGACTCGCCTGAGGTGGGTTTTCTAGATCGCCCAACCGGGCGGTGTTCGCCCGACCGGGCGTGACACCAGGGAAAACTTTATCTTGCGCCTGATCGGGCGGATGTTTGCCCGATCGGGCCCGCCTTTTTTCGTTAGGTCGGTTTGTTTATTTGTCTCCTAATTTCGGGACACATATAAATATGAGCATTGCCTTTCCTGTATTCATAAATTTAATATTATTGAACCCTAAACACATAAACAAAAACCTACCCTTTGAGATCTGATTAGTTCTTGAGCAATTCCACTCTTCGGGTTCGGGTGCACGAATTACGGGGAGAGTTGCGTTAAACTTGAGGGGCGTGCATCATCAGGAAACCTGTACCGATGGTGGCGTATTTCGCTTCTAAGGCAGTGGATTATTGTTCCACGGCGCGACTGTGAGTTTGAGATCTTCAATCAAGTATTTTCCCTTTCATCTTCTCTATTTTTTGTTATTGGAATCGACAGGTATTTTACCAACAATTTAAAAGCGAAATATTATTAATCTATTATACCGTTGATTCCTTGATTATTAAATTATGCAAATCGTTTAATCGGGGATTGAAATTAGTATTTGATTCGAGATCGAGAGGAGTCTTGTCGTACATGGAATTGAAAAGAATTCAAGTTCTTTAATTTGAGACTAGCAGCTACTTTATTTAATTCCTATCAAGGGATTGAGTGGATAAGGAGCTCTTGCGATTGCGATCGAGTTGCTTTGGGTTTTGTGCTCTCAAAGATTTTGATCTGGTGATCGTTCGACGTGGAATTAAGGAAGTCAAAATCCTTTAATATCAAATTATTATCAAGTGGCTTCATTATTTAATTCCTAGCAAGTGGAATTTTAATGGGTAATTGACAGAATTAATTTTCAAGGAACAAAACCCACTATTTGATTTGAGTCAACAGAAATGAATCCTAACAAATATAGTGGATTGGGCATGCCGGCATGGCAGCAAGATTTGGGTTTATTACTGTCTCGTGTTAGGTTTGGACGAGAGATTGCATCAGTAAAAGGATATATATTTCCTAATTTTCATTACTGGTGGCTCATTGAGAAGAGAACTTGGGATGCAGCTGCGGAGTAGTGATTACCAAGGCGCGTCCAGCCTCCGACTTTCTTTCTCGAAACAGCGAGATTGATGATGTTCAGTGCCAGGTTGCAGTTGGATCATAACATTTAATTAAAGGCTATCATGCTCATATCAAAGATTAGGGAAGTTTCTTCTCATTTTATTTTGTTGTTAAATTCTAACTTTATATAATATGTTTATTATATGTGCCCCAAGTATGCATAATATAATTATTATGATGTATTGTGTAGCAATGTGGGGGTGATTTGAGTTAGATTTTGTGACTAACTAGTAAGTTGGTTTTACTCATGTTTGTGAGTATTGTTGAGGAGGAAGACTTCCATGAGTTATTCTTTTATCTATGGCTATTTGTTTATGATCTGTTTAATCATGTATGATTATGGGCATTGCTATTTGTCCTAGTAGATTAGGTTAGATACGTGTTCTATCTTATGATAATGTATTTAATCGTTATTTCTCCTAATCATGGACAATGTTTTGTTAAGCACGGAGTATGTGATAAGCTTGTAAGTGTCCCTTTTTAGATTAAAAAGGGATTTAGAATTATTGGTTCTTTTAATTCTTGTTATTTTAAGTAGCTTTGTTCACGAACTTGAAATGCATTTATTTAATTTGCTAGAGATTTAGCAATTATTTTTCTTGTTGATGGTCTAGATGAGACCGGTTGATTTCCGTGCTTATTAGCAGAATAAAAAGGCTTGACTTAACAAAGCTAGAATGGTCGTGCAAGTTTGAAGTGTAAGTGCCCCACATGAGGTAAGGATGGGAATTAACATTCTATATGTCTTTAAACACTATTAATATTCTGTGAATGTTAGTATTGTGGGAGTTGCAGATATGTATCAGTTGTTTATTTGTTTAGTAAGTATTTCACCCAAGAATTTGGTTTATACTCCCTAATTTGTTACCTGATTCATGATTATTTTCATGTGGTATCTGTGATGTGGGGGTTTCCAATAATAAAGAATTGACTTCTAGATAAGTTTCACATAAAGTATGAAGGCTTGTGGGACTGAGGGTGATATGTATGCTGAATATCTGCTACGTTTATCATGTACGAGCTTGATATGTTAAATCCTTGAAATGTCTCAAGTATATGTTTTCCTATGACATGACATGTTAGTTTTACTCGTTCATAGGAATTGTTCTTGCCTCCAAAGCTTTATTCTGCCAGTAAAGTTGATGAGTTCATCATCTAAGGTGTATTGGATTAAAGCTTAAACTAGTGTTATATCATCTTGGTTTTACTTTCTTGATCGAAAGTTGTATGTAGATGTTTGTTGTGTGGTTTATATATTCATGTAGTGGTGAATGGAAAATTCCTGAACCATATGAATAAACCTGATTGACTAGTTGTGGAAAGAAGCATGTTAACGCGAGTTGTGCACTCTCTTTGAGTCTGATATGTTTGAGAAGAGTATCTCTTGCCTTGCTATAAGAAATCCATCTGTTGTAACTTGTAAGTATCTTTCAAGGTGAGTTGAAAGGTGGTCGATTGGAAATGGGCTAAAGGTAAGATATTATGTTGTTAGGATTTATTCTGTAAGTTTGGTGCTGACCAACTCTTATGACTCACCTGGTTTGTTCTAAGCTTGTCTGGTTTGCAGTAAGGTTGCTTAAGCTTCCTAGCATGATTGATTGTAAATCAAGGGTGTGTATTTAAAACGCATGCGCAGGTGACAACTTAGAATATGAGGTATTTTTGCTCATGATGTTATATCCCTTGTGATATGTATGGTGAGTGGGGGTTAGATTTGAGTAATCTAACTTGTTATGTTAAGTTTTTTCTTGGCATGTGAGTTGAACTTCTTGATTCATGTGTGATATTACTATAGTTCGCATTGATAGAGTTCATTTGCTAGAATGATCATAAGTTGTTAACTTCACATGCATGTTGTTAATTGAGATAAAGATGTATATGTGTCTCTAAGCCAAGAAACAAGTACAAGATAATGTGATAAGCAGAATGGTTCTAGGCAGTATGCCAATGAACTAATAAAGGTACACATCAATCTCATTATTGTGATGTAGAGAAAGTGGTTTGATAAATTATATTTATCATGTCTAAGCCAGAGTTATTTTTATGATTTGGCCTTGATGTTTGATTCAAATGTGCTAATGTTTTGCAATCTAAATGATGAACAAACTATTCTTGACGTGTAGTGGTTTTGTTGTGAACTATATTGTTCATTCTGTTTGTCAAGAGAGAATTACTCAATTATTGTTTGAGTTTCAGATAGTACAGGGATGGAGGTTAAAGTGAGAAAGTTTCTCAAGTACCTATCCAGTAAATTCTAAGAGACAATGATTGAATGAACAACGATGATTAGTTGAACCTCTTCAGTGTAATCAAAGACTGACTGGTCATTTCACAGTTGGAAAGGTATAAGACAACATTAGTCCTAAAAAGTAAAAAAAAAAAAAAAAAAAAAAAAAAAAAAAAAAAAAAAAAAATTAACACTCGTGAAATATATATCATACTAGATGTAGGGCAGCAAATCCATCATCAAAGATCATTACGGAGAATAAAGGCTTACCGCTTGATTAGCAATAACACGAGCACAAGATGTTTTCCCAGTACCTAAGCACAAAGTATATACATAAGACTGACGGTCACAAGATGGGAAACATAGTTTGTTATTTCCTTTATAATATAGGCATAGACAAGACAAAATGTGTTGACAGCATAGTTTAGTTTCAGTTATCATAGAAGGAAAACCTGGAGGGCCTTCAAAAAGCACGGCTCGGGGTCTATTTGACTCATATTTTCACCGAGTCCCACGGGCAATGTCATCATAAACTTCAGGACTACGCAGAGCCAATAGTACAGTATCCTCCATTTCCCTGTAAGAGAGAAAATGAGGAAAGAAAAAAAGGGTAATGAATCATATAACATTGATCAGGCAGAATTTTAGGAGTCGCATATGAAGTATATAGAAATCTCATTAAATAAGCTGTCTCTTATAAATGAAGTATCTTAACTGAGACACTGCAGTTGCAACTATTAGATAAAAGGCATACATATAAAAGGTCAAGGAGATCACTCTCCCCTACTTCACATTTACTATTCATCCCCTACTGAGCCTAATTACTTGACATTCAATGACTATTACTTCACAATTATGTGCAAAACATATCAAATATCTCTTGAAAGTCTACGATCTTCAACTAAACAAGCCGTCAAAGCCCCGAATTTTATATACCTCTTTTGCTGATCATAGCCAGCAATGGTATCCCATGTCACCTCTTCATTGGCATTACCAACAAGTGGTTCATCAAGGCCGAATACACGTACGCCCATGGCTTCCAAACTAGTAATTGATTTACTTGTCGATAGTGTTTCTGCAGAGCTACTTCTTTCTCCAGCTTTGCTCTGCCCTGGCCTTTCACCAGCTTCGGTCTGACCTGGTCTTTCATCAACTTTGGTCTGACCTGGTCTTTCACCAGCTTTGCTCTGCCCAGGCCTTTCACCAGCTATTTGCATGATGGAGACCAGAGCCTCAAGCTCTGCGGGACTAAAGCTTCCTTTCTTTAGGATCTCAAACTCCTGAAAGTATACCAGCAACAAAAACATCAATTCAATGCTAGATGCGAGTAATACTGTCTTTGATATCAAAATAGGGCATATAGCATCTATAAGGACAGTATACCCTATCAAGATTAAATTATTGGCGATAATTACCAGCTTATGAGGACTTATCACTGGCCTAAATATTAATACACATAGATCGTTGTCATTTGAAATGTCCCCCCCCCCCCCCCCCCAACAACTTTACTCTTTCCACTTTCTCTCTTTTCATTTGGGAGCCTGAGTGCTAGCTGCGAAGTAACTATGCTGAAATTATACAGGCTAACAGAAAAAAAAAAAAAAAAAGAGTTAATTGATAAAAGCAGATTTAATAACAATAGCGATGAAACTGAAATAGTATAAACACATATGACGTCCAAAATATGTAAAAAGAAAAGCCAAAAAAAGATGAAGGAGCTTAAACTTTGAAATCACCTGGCCCTAAATTGAACATCCATTACTGAATCACCATTGAGGCTTGAAGCAAGGTTAATTATCAGTCCAGGGATATCGCAATAACTGGGTACTGGAAACTTGATAGCAATCTACACTATCATAAAGAACCATTATTATTGCAGAAAACGATTCCAAAAAAAAAAAAAAAAAAAAAAAAAGAACCAATATCATAAGAGCAAAGAACAATGTACAAACATGGCTGCACAGCGCAAACAGCCTTCTCTACAATAACTAGTAAGTTTGTTCTTATCTTTTAACATTGTGAGCCTTATCATGATATATACTTAGATGTATAAAGTAAAGCATTGTGAGAGAAGAGAATCAAAATTTAATCCATCAGAACACTCTAATCAAATCATCTTTGTGCACAAGACAAGGGAAAAAAGGTTAAGCATAACTGTTTGCTATCAGTTTGCACACTGACTCTGTTATGAAATATGAAATAGGGGGTATAAGGTTTGATTTATGTGGAACAAGATCAATGAAAAATAATATATGTAAAAGCAAAAAAGAAGATAACAAAAACACATAAGAATTTATGTGGTTTGGTCAATTAGACCTAATTCACAGGTGGGGGATTCGAGAGCTTTTCTTCATTTTAATGGAGGAAACAAGAGGTAAATACAAGGAGTCAATGATGGCTATATTAGCTTAATGAAACTTAAAACTCAATGGTTCTTTTATAACATAAGAACCCTAAAAAACCCTTAGATTAAACTACAAGGATTCCGCAAGATTGGAGGAAGAGCACCTTCGTCCCGCTTTATAAAAACAAAGAAGAAGCTCAAGATTGTTCAAACAATCAAGGGATCAAGCTTATGAGCCACACTATGAAGTTGCGGGAAAGAGTGATTGAACATAGGTTGAGGGCAAGCACAAACATTTCGGATAACCAATTTGGTTTTATGCCGGGGAGATCCATTATGGAAGCAATCCATTTAATAAGACAAATGATGGAGTTTTATAGGGTAAAGAAGAAGGATCTTCATATGGTCTTTATTGATTAAGAGAAGGCATATGACAAGGTGCGTGCCAAGAGAGATACTCGAGTGGGCATTATTGAAGAAAGGTATCCCATGAAGGTACGTGGACCTCAAGGTGCGTGCCAATGGACTAACTGTTTGCTTTTTGTTTTTCTTCAAGAATGGAGGTAATACTTGTTCATGTAATCAATTTGATAAAAATAAAAAATAAAAAAAAGAGAAGGAAAATGGGTAAAAAACAACATGATTATTTTCCACCAATAACGATTATTGTTGCCAATCGTTATGAATACTTCTCAATCACAAAAAGCTTCATTATCAACATTTGTAAACAACAACATTTAACAATGAGGTTGAGCAACAAACATTATGGTGTAAACAACCCATGTAATCCGTGCATAAAAAAACACATGGTAAGCAATGGGTAGGTTTGGCTGTTTGGGTTAGATAACCAAATAAAGGATTTCTGACACCTTAGTAGATAGTAGGGCCCACCGACCCAGTGATGCCAATTGCCAAGTTGGTGAATAAAATTAACATTGACTACCAACACAACATAATTTCAATAATTGAACCAAACTCATTCTCGGAACTTTGTACACCTAAACCTATTTAGGTCTCCCATGATACCCACCGACCAACACATTCACTTAAATTTTGAAAACTTGAAAATGATCTGAAAGATTAGATTATAGTCTTCGGTTTTAGACAATCAAAGACTTTTTCCAGGCACGGAAAGAAAAGAGGTCGGGTACTTTTTATGGACCCACAAGACCCTTAAAGGCCATTTAGGTGGTCACAACCACCATTGACTCCCGACCTTATGAACTTCTTCAAATAAAAATTCACTTGGTATGCTTCCAAAATATATCTCAATCTTATCAAATTAACATTATTCAAATTTCTATTATTTTCCTTAAGTAGAACGAAATAATACGACTGTGAACACCATCATAGGACTACAGGGCCAATGATTCAAAGTATTAATCCCTCAATAATCCATATAGGAAGGAATCGTATTAGCCCCCTTTTTGTGCTTCGCGCCTCTAGTAACTTTTGTGATATCGTAATGAAATTTGATAGTAAATGGAGATTAGAAAGAAGGTGATGCAAAACTAAAAAAAAAAAAAAAACACTCTATAAGTCGTCTCATACAGCAGTTAAGGTGTTTGACGCAGGAATTTACTAGGGTGATACAGTATGTGTACCTTTTCGCCCTTTACTGTAAGGGTGAATTGTGGATAAGAACCATACTTCATGCTTTTGCTTCTCATAAGTTCCTCCAACCTGTACTGTTCCGTTTTTGCTATTTCTTCCAGGTTATCATAACTTGATGGGATATCAGGTGGCAAGGGAGAATCGGCAGAAACCTGCAGTGAGTTCAAGATAGATTGCAATCAAGAAATAATAATTCAATATACACTTTGTGCAGTACAGTTTAGAGTCCAAAATTCCAACACAAATCATACGTAGTATAAATAAAAAAGCAGACAAACTAGGCTTGGCACAGAGTATTCCATCTAGATAATAAGCACAAACCTCACTGGTATCTGCATAAGCCACGTCTAGAATCCCAACACCAACAACACTAGCTAGCACAAGCGAAATTCAAAGTGACCGGGTAGACTCAAAACTAGAAAATAGAATACGGCCTATAAATGCATTGGTTACTTGCTGCTGGGTTCCATAACCTGCACATCACATGATTGCAGCGAAATTGATGAATGTTCTTGTTGTATAACTGTATAGCATCAACCACTCAACCAGACTATCTCTATATAATTACATCGACCGGAAGATATGAATAAAATGTAAAAACATTATTATTAAAGAGCATTCATGATTCATGTCTTCCAATACAAGTAATTTACACACAATAAAAAAAAAAAAATAAATAAATAAAATAAAATAAAAAAACATATGAATTCATGAAAAATACTCTTTCTGAGCTACTATCATCCAACAATCAACTCAAGCAAGCAAAATAGAGCCTTTAGAGGTCGGTACGTTTCATAGGATCAGAAAACTTTCAGCTCAATACAATCTAGTGTTGCTTTCTTGTATATTTCCCCCCTAAAATAACAAATTAACAATACAATCTAGTGTTGCTTTCCAACAATAAATAGAACTATAATTAACTAAAATTAGAAAAATCCCAATTCAGAAACGCCACTAAATTTTAAAACCAGGCATACCATTTTCAATTTAATTACATTCTACCAACAAGAAGCAAATTCAGCTAAAACAACAATGTCATAATTCCATTGATTTTACTTATAAAGTGTACAAATTTATGTGCCAAAGGTTCAAATTACAGCATCCTCAACACTAAATGTTGTTAATATTCGAACCCAAAATTAAAACTTAAAACAATAAAATAAGGGTAAGAAACTAAAAAGTAAGAACTAAAGAGTAAAACTTAAAGAAAACCCAGAAATTAGAAAGAAAATATTACCATGATAAAGACGAGTTTGAAGGGGTTGAGCAAAAAAACGTAGGGTTTATGGTTTTAGAAGAAGAAATTGCTCTGCGACAAGCTCTTCTTCTAATTAATCGACTGGATTTTTGCGAAATAAATTATGTCCGAATTACTGGATAATTGGAGAATTGAATTCCAAGTCTCTTACAAAGTCCTCCACCAGTACAGTACAGTACTGTATGCCTTCGAAGAATAAGCATGAAGACCCTAACTCTGGTAGCTTCAATTTCTTAGGGCCAATTCATGTCATTTTTATTTTTGGAAGATGACTTCTATTTTTTTGGAGCTGTACCCATTAATATGCCATATTAACTAACTTTGTTAATATAGCGGCATATTCGCAATTATGAGCAATGAGCAAAATATTTTAATGTTATTTATGCATTTCAATGATTTGACATTAATTAGACGTTTTCTAACGATTTACAAACTCCGTTTCTTCATTATTCACCCGTTCCTTTCTTCTCTCTCCTTTCTCCTCTCTCCTCCCTCTGTAATTTAGCAAACATTCTCTGTTGAACAAACCTCAGCAACTACAGAAACATAATCATTCAACTACCAATAAATTAAATCATACTATAGCAATAACATCCCACCATTAGCAATTTCGTCAATTTCAATTTCATAAAATTAATTCAATAAAACCAATCGTTAAGGGTTCGTTTTACATCGCTTTGTTTTTCTGTTTTTTAGATTTCAAACTCATATGATATATGTCATATAATAAAACAAAAATTAGACAAACTTATTAAAATCATGATATATTTGAAAACTGACAACAGAAAAGTGGAAACACCTTTTTCTTGTTTTCTGTTTTTGGTTTTTTGTTTTAAAAAATACAGAAAACTGAAAACAAAAAACAATGTCAAACAAGCCCTAGACAATCAAGTCCAATAAAACTTGCAGTAAATTTGCATAATCAACCATTCACAGTCAAATATAAAGGAAAGAGAAACAAATTGGTTCCAGAATGCCCACCTTTGCCACCATTACCACCAAACCCATAATCATCATGCCCGCTTCCGCTTCCGCCACCCCTACCATCACCATACCTCCTATCTTCTTCGAGAGGCCCACTAGCATCCTCTCTCCCTCCACCATCCTCCTCCCCATACTCGACTGCCTCATTAATTTGAAATTCGATTCGAATTGCGGCATATCGGACTTGTGGAGAAGAAGCTGTCGAATTGCAGTATGGCCAATATCTTAGGGAGGAGAGTCAGAAGAGTGAGGACAATGGAGTAACAATAGATGTTGCAATGGAGTGTAGATACTGAACCAGTTAACGCCAGTAGTATGATGTTAAAGCTCCTTTTGCATTTTTACGTCTTTACCCTTAGTAAATAGGTGAAAATGACCTTTTGACCCTCATATAAACGTTACTGGTAATATGCCATATTAACCAGTAGTCTTTTTTTTTTTTTTTTTGTAGTAGAGTACTAGTAATTTCATTTATTTACTAGCCGTGGTTGTAAGCAATTTGGCCTAATTAATCTTGAGAAGTTATAATCACAATTTTTTTTAAAAAAAAATAAATAAATAAAATAATAGGTAACGATTGCAAATCAAAAGTTACTCATTTATAGTGGAATATTTATTTAAGGAAAATTTTCAATGGTAGCTATGTAGTTTTGCTCATTCTCAATGGTAACAAAATATTTGGCAAATTCTCTCAAATAAAATTACTTTAAAATAATTCTCTAACATCGACAATATTCTTCCAATTAGCAACTAATTAGCTTAATAAAACAATAATTAGATTATCTCAAAAAAAAAATGCAGAAGTAACAGAACCCTCCCTTCAGCCACCCCCAAGCTGCTGGCTACACATCGAAACCCACCCCCACCCCCATCCCTACCCCCACCCCCAATAATTACATCACTGACGCCTGAACCCCGCGAACCCATCCTACCCTTCGCCGGAACCTTACATAGCGCTGAAACCAAACTCCCATCAAAATCCCAACAGCCCACCACTTCCCTTTCACTACCAACTCCAAATTCCGCCCACCGTCTTGCAATCTTCCGGTGTTTTCATATCAGGGTTGGGTTTTCGTGGCTATAGGTTGACATTGGGGAAATCTAGATGGGGATTTCGGTTGAGGGTGGGGGATTAGAGGCGGTTGGATGGGATTTCGGTGAGGGTTGTGGTATTAGGGGTGGCTGTGTGCAGTGGCGGATCCAGGATTTCCGAGATAGTGTGTCACCATCAATTATTGATCATTTGTGAAAGTACAATTTTTTTTCCATGTCTTGTTCATAATTAATTTCAATCCAAAACTTATATATATAATATATATATATATATATATGTATATATACATACATATATATGTATATATACATATACCAAATTGATTTCAATCCAAAAATAGGACACAAAAATTCATATCACAACTAAATACAGTACTTAAGAATTCAATTTTACAAGTCGAAAATACTACAAATAACATGTTATAAACCAATGGTACAATAAAATTATTATATTGAATTAATTTTATGATTTTTTAGTTAATTGATAAGCTTTATGGGGAAATATTAAAATTGGCTGTACAAATATAAGATATAAAAAGGGAAAAAAATTATTAAAAAATTATACAAAAAAAAGTGAGATAACTTAAAAGACCAGTTATTAAATATAACTGGTCTCTTTAATGAAAAAGAAAGTAACGCAAAAAAATTGTGAAATGCAATAGCAGCATCAAAGAAACCTCTTATATAAATAACAGGTCTCTTTAATATATAAAAAAAACACACCAAGTCTTTTGTAGCAATAGCAGCATCAAAGAGATCTCCTATCTTAATAAGCGGTCTCTTTGATATTGTTTGTTGTTACCACTATCAAAGAGACCCCCTATCTATAATAAGGGGTCTCTTTGATATTTTATTTTTTTAAAAAAAATACTGTGTCACCGGACCCACTATGACTAAAGGTGGGTCCGCCCCTGGCTGTGTGGGATTTCGGTGAGAAGTGTGTGGTTTTAGAGGTGGCTGGGTGAGGGAGATCTGGTTTTAGAGTGGCTGGGTAGGAAGTCGGTGAGGAGTGTGGTTTTTTTTTTTTTTTTTTTTAAAAAAAGATTTTTTTTGTTAATTATTGTTAAATTAAGTTAATTAGTTGCTAAATTGTAAAAATATTGTTATGTTAAGGAAATTTATAAAAAGTAATGCTATTTGTGGGAATTTGCCAAATATTTTGTTACCATTGAGAATGAGCAAAAGTTTATAGTTACTCCCTCCGTTTTTAAATATTTGCTCCACTTTCCATATGCGGCCATTTTTAAATACTTGCTCAATTTCCTTATTTGGAAAGCTTTTATAATATCTATACTTAGTATTTAAAAACTATAACCAAGAAACTAAGAAAGACACATGTCCTCATCCATTCTATTACATTTCTCTAACCATAGTGCCACATGTCATCTTACACTATTAATTTTTTATTACGCCATTTTTTTAAATTCTTTCATTAAACTTATACTTCATCTTTCATACACACTTCATCTCTTCATCTTCATCTCTCCCCTTTAATTAAACCTTTTCCTATTCTCTCTTTAATTTTAGCCCTTCCACCTTCTATTTAAGCCTCTTTTTCGATTAAAGTTTTAAATTTTAATTTCTTTAATCATGTTTCCGATTACATATTATACCCTATAATGACTTATTGATATTTCCTCACTTATCTCTCAATACAATTTTATATGAATAACTCGTGCATTGCACGGGCCAGAAGGCTAGTTTAATTAATTTCTCTAACCTAGTGGACCCAATATATATTCTCTCTTCTCTAATTCTCTCCACTACTTTTGCTTTCTACAATATTTTATTCTTCCACCAACCCCACTACCTCCATATTTTATTACTTTCTTTAATTTCTCCTAAAACTCCGCGCATGGAGAAATGGAGCAAGTATTAAAAAACGGAGGGAGTACTATTGAGAATTTCCCTTTATTTAATTTAATAATTGTAAGAAAATAAACAATATAAGGTCGTAGTGGCTAAGATCATCTCCAGTGGTGAGACTTGAGGGAGTTTGAAAGAGTATTTTTTGCAAAAGATACCAATAAGTTGGTATCTAACATTAGCAATTTCAAGAGAAAGTTGTTAGGTTTAGATGCTCAACTTTGACTCTCATTTAACATAAAGTGTGTGATTTCAAATGCTCAACTTAGCAACTCCCTTTCGACACTACGAAAGCATCTATTAGGTCTTGATGTAAAACCTTATAACAACTTGACAAGAATCATACTACGCAAAAATGGAAGATATACTGTTAAGCGGTATACTCGTAGGTTGTTCTAGCAGAAAGGAGAGTACCTTCCAACAATGTGGTTGAAGGCTCAATCCCCACTATTGACAATTTGGGGGAGTGGGATTCCCTTACCTTCCCCCCACTCTTCCAAATTATCCAGCCCGCTAACTCGAGTTTGGAGGACCTGTGACAGGTTCTGGCCTGGTAGGACCATTCTCCTTGTCAAAAAAAAAAATGAAATAAATATTGGTAGGTTGTTAATCAGAGTTACATAACACACTAACGCTTTGTTTGGATAGAAAAGAAGGAAAGAAAAGAAGGGGAGGGAGAATGGAGGAAGGGAAGGGAAAAGAAAGGGAGGGGGAGGTGAGCTCCATTTTCCCTCAAAATCTCTCCAATTTTGGAGAGATTATGGTTATTATAGAGAGAGGAAAAATAGATTATTCCCTCTCCTTCCCCTTCCTTCCCCCAATCTTTTACCCAAACAAGAGATTTTGTCCCTCTCCATTTCTCTTCTCTTCTTTTCCTTCCATTTCTTCCTATCCAAACAAAGTGTAAATATAACATCATATTGTTTTCTAAGGACATGTTCTCTTCATCTTAATTTCGATTCAGTTCAGTTCCTAATTTTATTCTCTCATAAACAATTTATTTCAATTACTAATTCCATCTCTCATAAAAAATTCAGTTCAGTTCAGTTCAGTTCAGCTCATTTCAGTAAATCATAATATGCCCTAAGTACTTGGGAATAGAGTTTTGGGAAGATAGAAGCCTAGTTTTAAGATATTTCCTATAGAGCATGAATTCTAATATTATAGTAAAATATAAGATTACTCGCAATTAAATGTATATTAAAAATTTACACACATACTCAAATTAAACATCAAATTAAAGAAATACGAAAGAAATCAACATATTCACCTAAAAAAACTATAGTTTAACGAATATCTTCCCCAAGTAAAATCGGAAAGATATGAAGTAACAGATAATCATAAAGGACATCAAGAAACCAATACAACAAAAGAGCATCATTGTAGACACCTAAAAATGGTTCCCCAAAACCAAACTCGATGATGAACAACCTTTCATCGCCATTATTGGTCGGGTTAAGTATTTAATCTTGGAGTGTTTAAATCCATATTTTCATTTCATAAACCAACCCAAATCATAGCCCATTTCCCCAAACCATAACTTATTTCGTGCCTTTAAACCCAAAATAATTAATTTCGTGTCCTTTAAAATCATTTATTTCGTGTCATTTTTATAAAAACGTTTAGACCAATTTATTTTGGTCCATAATCTGGGCCCAATGATTTTAAATTTGTATGGGTCTTGAAGACCTTTCCAACGATATATTATAAGCCCAAATCCGAGTTATAATGAATA